ATGGTAGGATTCAAAGTCAAGTGCAATTCAAATGTTGCTAATCAATAGATCAATGGCAAAAGGCTCATATCAGATAGGAATAGTGTCAGATGAATTGGATTCTTTAATCTTTAATCAAAGAACCCATATACGAAAATGTATTTTTTATAATCTGGCTCTTGTGTGCACAAAATACGCTTGGTTTTATCAAAAGTTTTTTTTCAATTTTACAAAACTATAATCCAAGGCTTATTTTATGCTGTAGTGAGATACACATTTAAAACTAGTCCTGGAGTCAGTATTCTCTCACGAGATTATCTTTTCACATATGTAAATTTTGACTGTGAGTGAGGAGATAAGGAGAGGTAGAACAAGGTGACTAGGTAGATTCTGAATAGTTATTTTGGTATCAAACAGGTTACACTTGTTGCAGTCAGTAGAGTGTTTGAGAGGAAATGGATTGCAGGAATTGTTTGCAAGAAAAGAAACAAAAAGTTTACAAACTTTTAGCTTTATTTTTATATATTTAACAACTATCTGTATGACTATTATTCTCATCATCCTCATTATTATTATTATTATTACCAGAAGGTGCTGAAAAGTCATTAACCTGATCCACTGCCTAAAATGTAACCAAATAACCGAACATCAGAATTCTTTTTTTTTTCTTCTTATCTTTTTTTTTTCTTCTCACTTTTTTTTCTTTAGGACTTCTTGGCTAGATTGGAGACATTTCAGCACCACTCATAAACAACAATAACAAAGATTATGTTTTGCTGAAACAAAAATGGTTCATCACTGTATTTCTGGAAAATAATGGTTTTTAAGACAAGCAGTCTTTATAATTAAAGAGCTCAATATCAAGAGATAGAGCCTTGATAGTAACAGATAAAATAGGATGTTCTTATCTGTCCTTGCTCTGAGTTTTGTGGAGGTTTATCTACTTGTAAGGGAACTTGATAATAAAACTGAATTTATTAAAATTGCTGTAAAATAAATTCAATTTTACTTTCAAGTCCCTTGACAAAACTCAGAAAAGGGACAGATAAGTTAACATTTAATTTTATTTTTTATATATCTCATTGCTATTCAATTCTACATTAACTGTCAGATGTCCTATTAGAAAATACAAATATTGAGATTCTGGCAATTTGTGAGCATTTTAAACTGTCCGTTAGCTGCTGAAACTGCTCCCAGAATTCACAAAGTGGAAGCAAATGAAACAATATCTAGCTTTGTTGCCAAAATCTGGTTGAAGTCTTTTAACACTGGTGATTTGTCCCTTGAAATAAGAATAAATAAATGACTATCATTTGTCGATTATGATGCTTTTAAAAAACAAAGTAAAGGAAAATCTGACCAATACTTGAAAAATTTCAAGAGTTTAAATATTTCAAAAGATGTTACATGTAGTGAATAACATAAGCTATTTTGTCATTTATACAATAAAATGGCTGCATATCAAAATTCTGTTAATTTAGCAAATACAATTTTTTTTTTTTTTAATTTAATTGCTTATCTCACAATTTGTTTAGGATACATTCAAAAAGCCATTTTATTAAAAAAATAAAATAAAATTCAAAATTACATTTGCTGAAGATTATTGAAGCTGGCAAAATTTCTCAATGATTAACGCCAGCCAAATCATTAATTTTTGATTTGAAAAAAATGAAGAGGAAGAAGAGCTCATGTCAGGCTAATGATAATAAGATTTAGGTTTTGTATTTTACTCAAAACAAAAAATAGCAAGTTGGGAGGAGTTTTTTTTTTTTTTTTTCAAAATTCGAGAGAAATCAATTTCAACTTGTGTGCTCAAAAATAAAATATGTTTGTTGTTAAAGGAAAAACTGAAGCCCAATAAATTTCACAATTGTTTTATGTTGAATATTATCCAGTAATAATAAGCAAGAATCAGCTTTTATGCATTTGAGGATAAATAAAACTATTTACATTCTACAAATACTCGATATCATACATATTTTGATGGAAATGTTTTTTTTTCTTTCTTTTCAACATGACCATATGCAAATATAGATATATAGGTGTGTGCGTGTTTTATTTATATCCTGTGAAATATATATTTTCTTGTTCTGCATTTGCAGAGGTAAACTGGCAGTTATCAATTTTCCATCAATATTGAATTTGGATGTTCAGGGGGACATTCTTATTCTTTATGTGTGCAGAAGATTGTTAAATATGAATAATCCGAGTGCCTGTGTTTGTATGTGCATATATGAAGAGGCTCGGTAATTCCAGGAGATTAATGGATTTCTGGATATGTGTAAGGGATTGGCAAAATGAATGTGAATGTTAAATGATGCATGCAAGAATCACTTGGAAGGACTTATACCTACACTGATTTGAACTGCAGCTATTTTATTGGGGGAGGTGACAATCGGCACGGGTTGGACAAATATGGAGAGCTGCATGTCTCTGAGTTCATATAAAATTTGATTATTTCTCTCTTTCTCCTCTTCATTTTTTCTTTCTTTCTCTCTCTCTCTCTCTTTCCTCTTTGCCAACATAATTTTCTTTCTTTCTCTCTCTCTCTTTCCTCTTTGCCAACATAATTTTCTTTCTTTCTCTCTCTCTCTTTCCTCTTTGCCAACATAATTTTCTTTCTTTCTCTCTCTCTCTTTCCTCTTTGCCAACATAATTTTCTTTCTTTCTCTCTCTCTCTTTCCTCTTTGCCAACATAATTTTCTTTCTCTCTCTCTTTTTCCTCTTTGCCAACATAATTTTCTTTCTCTCTCTCTCTCTTTCCTCTTTGCCAACATAATTTTCTTTCTCACTCTCTCTCTTTCTTCTTTGCCAACATAATCTTCTTTCTTTCTTTCTCTCTCTTTCCTCTTTGCCAACATAATCTTCTTTCTTTCTTTCTCTCTCTCTCTCTTTCCTCTTTGCCAACATAATCTTCTTTCTTTCTCTCTCTCTCTTTCCTCTTTGCCAACATAATTTTCTTTCTCTCTTTCCTCTTTGCCAACATAATTTTCTTTCTTTCTTTCTCTCTTTCTCTTTGCCAACATAATTTTCTTTCTTTCTTTCTCTCTTTCTCTTTGCCAACATAATTTTCTTTCTCTTTCTCTTTGCCAACATAATTTTCTTTCTTTCTTTCTCTTTGCCAACATAATTTTCTTTCTTTCTTTCTCTCTGCCAACATAATTTTCTTTCTTTCTTTCTCTCTTTCCTCTTTGCCAACATAATTTTCTTTCTTTCTTTCTCTCTTTCCTCTTTGCCAACATAATTTTCTTTCTCTCTCTCTTCATTTTTGTCAACATAATTTTCTTTCTCTCTCTCTCTCTCCTCTTCATCTTTGCCAACATAATTTTCTTACTCTCTCTCTATTCAATTCTTCCCCCATTCCTTCCAATTAGCCCTATTCTTTCTTTTCCTCATTCATCATTCTTTCTTCCTCTTTGTCTTCTTTTCTCTTTTCATCAGCATTTTTCACATTTCACAACATCCATCTTAAACTTATAAAAATTGAAGAAAATTTAGGCACTTCAAATATATATGTGTGTGTGTGTGTGTGTGTGTGTGTGTGTGTGTGTGTGTGTGTGTGTGTGAAAACAGCCTGATGTAATCTTACACTGCATGCACCAAATTTTAAACTTCTCCATTGCCTTTCAGATGTATAAAGAGCATTAATGTGGCAGTTTCAAATCTGATAGTAGAAATGAAGAAACACCCAGTGCCTATGACAAGAGATAACAAGTGGTCCAGGTCAAATAAGAGGTGGGCTTGCTCAATCTCAGCAACTTAAGCAATTATAACCATGTCATTCTGCCCTCTTTCTTTCTGCAGTGTCTCCATTATTGCCAACATCTACACCATGGTGCTAAACATAGTGATCAAGCCCTGAACTGAGAGGGTAATGGGATGCTTACCAGTAAGCCTGTCTCCTCCCATATAGCCCAGAATTGATAAGCTAAGAATATTTATGATCCTATCAATTCTAATCTATGGACTCCTAGCACCCTTGATTTGTATCTTTCAGAATATTATGTCTAGGGTGTTGCTGTAGAAAGTGACCAAACAATGGCCACCACAATAAAAAACAAAAACAAAAAAAAAAAACTCATAAAAAGCCAACCACCAGTTTCAGGAATATAGTTGCTTCTAAGGCCATCCTCATGGCTGATGGCACTTTTATTGAATAACTTTTTATTGCTTTTTCTAAATTAAATATGTATATAACACAACCTGCATATTATTTGTTACATTCAGAAAATTCACTATAGCAAATACTGAGTTTCTTTGTAAAACACCTGAAGAATATGTCAAATTTAATCAAGTTGAATGTTTTTAACTTATAATAACCTTTAAATGTTTCCTAAAATCTTCTTTGTATATTTTATTCAATCCTGACAAAAATTTCCAAAGCTTTTTCTTAATGTCACTAAAGTTTACAGAAGAGAGATATCTTAATGTTTTGATCAAGAAGATTTTAGTATTTGTGATGGAAAATGTCTGTAGACTGCATTTCTTGAATTTAAAAAATATTATATAACAGTATTGTTTAAACGTCTTTTTCTATTTTATAGATATTATACATTTATTCTGATAAAGTCTCTCACCTACTCACCCTGTCCCACATGCAATAAAAATATCTATCTTCTTCCAACCTCTATCTTAACCTGTATTTCTAACAGTAAAATAATATTGTTTTGCTTACAGAGTAAAGGAAGAAATTGAAACCAATAGGTGTGTTTGTTTCTGTAAGCAAAAAGAACACAGACAGCTACTTTGACTTCACTTTCTTTTAACTTTTTTTTTTTTTTTCTGAAAACTTGTAAAATCCCTTCTTGCCCATAATGCAAATGTCTAGTGCTTGCAAGATATATTTTGTGCTTTTTTTCTTGTTTGAGTTTCTTTGATTGCCATTCTAGGGATTGTGTCACTAAAGCTATATCTTCATTTGGGTAGAATTCTACAACTCTTCAATTGGCCATAATCCAGCAGTTCCAACTACATGGTCCTGCTTGATTAGACCTCATCATTTTACATCTAAGATTAGCTTAATGACACAGTGGCTTTATACTATCTCCACTTCGCTCTCACTCAAGGTTATTCTTTTCTCCTCCTCCTTCCCTATTCTTGCTTTAATATTCTCATTATTTTTACTACGCCGCCTTTTTATTCTAGTTTCTATTTCTTCTCCCTTTCTCTCTTCTTCCCTATTCTTGCTTTAATCTTCTCTTTATTTCGCTCTTTCCATTTCTCCTTTTTATTCTAGTTTCTATTTCCATTTCTCCTTTTCTCTCTTCCTCTTTCGCTCTTTCCATTTCTCCCTTTCTCTCCTCTTCCTCTCGCTCTTTCCATTTCTCCCTTTCTCTCCTCTTCCTCTCGCTCTTTCCATTTCTCCCTTTCTCTCCTCTTCCTCTCGCTCTTTCCATTTCTCCCTTTCTCTCCTCTTCCTCCATTTCTCCTTTCTCTCCTCTTCCTCTCGCTCTTTCCATTTCTCCCTTTCTCCTCTTCTCTCGCTCTTTCCATTTCTCCTTTTCTCTCTTCCTCTCCTCTTTCCATTTCTCCCTTCCTCTCCTCTTCCTCTCGCTCTTTCCATTTCTCCTTCCTCTCCTCTTCTCTCGCTCTTTCCATTTTCCCTTCCTCTCCTTTCCTCTCGCTCTTTCCATTTCTCCCTTTCTCTCCTCTTCCTCTCGCTCTTTCCATTTTTCCCTTTCTCTCCTCTTCCTCTCGCTCTATCATCTTTGTGTTTCTTACATCTTCTTTCTACTTCCTGATTTCCAAATTATTTTACTTTAAATGCAGTTGCAATTACTCTTAATCAACCCCTAATGATGTGAAGAGATAGTTTGCCATCTAATTGACTAATTAAGCCCCCCTCTCCATTGTGTGTACAGCAGATTAGTTGTGCTTGTATTGCAGTTTGATAAAGATTTACATAATCTGTTTGTCCTGTAATAAATTAAAAAAAAATATATATATATTTTAAAACTTAGATTATTTGTTGAGGAAAGTTAGGTTGAAAAATTTGATCTACATTACTTGGTGAATTCTAATATTGTTTATGCCGTTGTCTTTTCTCTGTGTCTGTAGAGAGAAAAGCACATCATTTCATTGTCTCCATATGTGTTGGCTGTCAAACCATGGACAAGGAAACTAAATATGTTTGCTACAAAGAAACAAGAAACAGATCAAAGATACTGACTTATCCAAATTGCTTTGATGATTTTTGTTTTTTTTTTATCATTAGTTGTATTATAATCCTCATCAAAATATTGTAACGTATTTTTTCTCTGTCTAGTTTTTTAATAAAAGACGAAGTGTGAAGTTCTTTTTTGATTTAACAAGATGTGTTAAGATTCAAATCTACATTTCTCTTATAGCAAATACACAAGTCTATAATAACAAAAGGAAAAGAACAGAATATACTTTGATCAATCATGAAAGTTGGAAGAAAAAAATGGATTTTCACGATTTTTTTCTTTACAAGATTTGTACACTTAATTAACAGGTACATTAAATGCAAGTCTTGGAAAATAAGATGTTTAAAAAAAATATTTTTTTCTCTTGGAAATATTTAAAAAAAAATTTTTTTCCCTTATATGATAAAATGAGGTTTTTCTCAAGACATCACATATGAAAATCAATAAATTTCACATTTCATGAGAGAAATAGAAAACAGACTGGGGGCGGAATATATATATATATATATGTTTGCTTTGGCAAAACTAGTCTCCTCATTTGCAAAACTAATAACCTTCAAAAGTGTCTTATTTGTAAATAATATCACAAAAGTGTATTTGTTCATAGATTTTTTTGTTATCTTTGTGTTACTCAAAAAAAAAAATCCATGACATGGTACAATTTAAACATTGACTAAGCAAAATTTAGTTTCTTTTCTCTTTCCAAATTTTTAAAGAAGCATTATTCTAAAATGGACCTTTTGAAAAACAGACCTTCTAACAAAGAAAGATCAAATTTTACTCATGTAAATTTTCCCAATAATTGATTGGCATTTTCTTTTTCTTTTCTTTTTTAAGCATTACCTATATTCATCCATTATCGGCTTGGTGCTTAAAATTAAAAATATGAAATTATGTCAGTAGTGTTATGAACTACCAATCAATATACTATAAGAATACTAACCAAATTTCAACTTCTGTGTGCATATAGCTACGTTAATAATGAGTCCAACCATCCATTTAATATTTTGAATAATTTGCATATATCCATCCAAGTTAGATTCTCTTGTAAATCCAGCAATAAGGAAATATTTGATAATAAAATTAGATAAAAGCATTAGAACTAATTAGCAACCAAAAAGTAAATTTAGAATATTTAGAAAAAAAACTAAAATGGTAATATTAAAAAGAGACACCACAATGTGTTACGTTTTTGTAATGTTCAAAGGAAAATTGCAAGAATTTTCCTAAATTTAATTCCTAAACACTTTAATCAATCTGCAATACTAAAGAAGAATGAAAAGATTGGCAATAGCTGTATTAAAAACATTGAAAAATGATTAGTATAATAATATTATACTGAATAAATATATGTCCAACAAAGACAACAATGTTAACCATTTTAAAAAATAAATGCAACTGCCAAAAAAATATGATCTGTCCCTTAAACAGCCAATGTATGACTGATAATATTGTATACTGAGCTAACATACATTCTGGTAACAATGTCAAATTTTATTTTGGTTCCACTGAAAATCCTTGGAAATTTTGTTTCTATCATCATCGATTGACTTTAGATAATGTAAGATGCATGAATAGCATGGCTCTTGCCAAATAGTCCCATTATTATGTGGGATATTGTAGCAAAAAACTAAATCGTACAATAGGAAAGGCGATAGATGTAATTTATGCCTTGTAGAAAATTAGTTATCTTAAAACACTTAAACCTTAATTTATAGAACAAGAGAAATGAAATAATAGTCACATGTAGGTATAAAAATATATGGCTGTTGAAATACCAGTGAGTGCTAATATGTATATTTATTAATATACATATTCGCGCGCGCACGCACACACACACACACACAAAGTGGGTGCTGGAAAGTTCCTAGCTCTTTCACTAATATAATCAAATAAATATTTTTCTTAATATGGCTTCTTGGTTGTACAGTGAATTTTTCAGATCTTCCTCATATGCATGTGTTTTTAATAAATATATATATATATATATATATATAATCAGTAGCCTTTGCAATTTCATTACTGAACAAAGGTCTTTCCATCTCATCATTTCCTATTACTTTTGCTAAACATTGTGCATCATGCAAGCAATGTTTTGCTTCATCTATTATCCTTCCTTCTGTTTTCCTTCACCTCCATTTTGTTTCCTAATCTTTGATATCTCTTATTTGTACCATGTTAGGCCCTATCTTTTATTCCTCATATTGTTCCTTCTATTGAATTTTGTCTATTTCTAGATTTGTTTTCAATTGATTTTGTTCATTTTTGTTTTGCACAGGCACATCAAAGTCATCATTTATACATTCATTTAAACATATTGAAAATCACCTCTTAAATATGCTTAAAAATTAATTTGTGTGTATGTATAATTATGTTACAGACGATTTGTTTGTGCATGCATGTGTGTGTGTGTTATATATATATATATATATATATATATATATATATATATATATATATATAGAGTTGTCCTTCTCCTAGACTGGTTGACACTCAAGGTTATAGAACCCAATCCATCCTGCTATTTATCCATAGCTGGGGAGAGAAGAAGAGGATTCATACCTTTCCCAAGGGTATTAGTACATAAGTGAATGGATTCGACTGGAATTTCAACTTGACTCTCTGATTCCTCAAACCAAGCCACTTTCCATTACTCCACCGTGCCTCCTAAATTCTGAATTCAAAACCTGCAGAGGGCCTTGTGGCACACAGTGCACTAGGTCTTTGTATTTGGTTCTTCAAAAAGTGCGATTGGTTCTGCACAAAACCTTCACCACTATGATCAGATCATATGTGCAGGTTGTCTGGTTGTCAGTTCCTAGGGACTGATTTGCTTGACACTCATATGTCATAAAGGAATTCCCAGTAGGCAATGATCAACAGCCCGCATCGATCAACGATGGGAGAGTCCACGATACATACACACACAAACACACACACACACACTCTTGGTTCAAACAAGAAGGAATCTTTAAAATTTTGATGTTTGGTGATATCCATTTTGATTGTTACTGTTATTAAAAGTGATGAGGTTTATCTAGGACAATTCTTTGGGATTCTGTAGCACCAGTCTTGAAGATTCAAAGAAGAATGGTCATCACTAAGGACTACAGTCTTCATTTGCTTGAAACCATTTTTCAACATTGTTCTGATAAAGCAATGGTATACAGCTAAAATTTTAGATATTTCTGACCAAGTTTGGTGAAACATATGACCATAAAAGTCTTGATTTGACAAGGCTATTTAAGAACATGGCTCAAGTTTTTACATTAATATTTGTTTTTTTGTAACAACCTGTAGTGTTGGAGATATATAAATAAAAAGAAAGAACAGTAAGATATAAAATCCGGTGTTCTTATAGATATTTTTATTTTTACAAAATAATGCTCAATGTAAATTTACAGAGCATTAATATTATAAATTAATTGATTTAAAATATGGTTTTTCCACTACACAGTTCCAACCATGTTTCAAAAATAGAAGCTAAAACCCCGAATTTAATTTTGCAATTAAATTAAAAGCATTAGTTCCATTTCATCTTCAAGTGAATTTTGGAGTAAGTTTTAAAAATTACCGGGTTTTAAAGACACAGCTAAAATCACGTTTCCATGGTTACAGAATATTCTACTTAAATTGAACAAGGGATGTCTAGATTTTCCTTATGTCAGCATCATTGTATCAGTTATTAGCTACAATTTGGTAAGGGGTAGGGATGTATTTTGCAATGAAACCTAACATCAGTTGAATGGATGTCATCTGGATTTATAAAAAAAAAAAAAAATTGTTAACGGTAAAAAAATTTCAACATCATTTTTTAAATTTAAAGATTTTCGTTTTTTTTTTTTTTTCCTAATACTTTTTATTTAACTATTAAAACTAAACAATTAAAATTTTAAAATATTTTCATTGTTTAGTTTTAGTAGACTATATTACTTTATTATAAAGTTATATAGTCTATTAAAACTAAACAATGAAAATATTTTAAAATTTTAAAGTTGTAATTTTGAAATTGTAATTAAAATTGTAGTTAAATTGAATGAATTCTAACCTAAATTTCTTTTAAATAATAATACACGCACTAAAAAGAATAAAAAAAAACACCTATAGTAAAATAAAATTAATATGAAATGCCATAAGATGTAAGCTTTTGAATGACCCATGTCCTTAGTACTTACATGAGAAACATTATATTACTAGGTTTATATATAAAATAAAAGTTTACTAAATCAGTGAAATTAAGTAACCATTTTTGCCGTCATAGTCATAAATTTAAAAAAAAAAAAACAATGTACCTCATATACATACTTAAACTTGATGTTAAAATAATCCTACAAAATATAATGGATTCTAATACATTTAACTGTTCTTAAAAAGAATATAGTATAATAAAAATTAAAAAGGAGAATATTTCAAATCGTAGTTAAATAAAAAGTATTAGGAAAAAAAAAACCCCGAAAATCTTTAAATTTAAAAAATGACGTTGAAATTTTTTTACCGTTAACAATTTTTTAAAAAAAACATTCAGACGACATCCATTCAACTGATGCCAAGTTTCATTGTAAAATACATCCCTACCCCTTACCAAATTGTAGCTAATAACTGATACAATGATACTGACATAAGGAAAATCTAGACATCCCTTGTTCAATTTAAGTAGAATATTCTGTAACCATGGAAACGTGATTTTAGCTGTGTCTTTAAAACCCGGTAATTTTTAAAACTTACTCCAAAATTCACTTGAAGATGAAATGGAACTAATGCTTTTAATTTAATTGCAAAATTAAATTCGGGGTTTTTAGCTTCTATTTTTGAAACATGGTTGGAACTGTGTAGCGGAAAAAACATATTTTAAATCAATTAATTTATATATAGACTGTTTCTCTGTATCATAGCTTATCCGATTGCTTCATGCTGGGATCAAAACTTGACCAATATGGCAATTCTGATCAATATTATCAACAAAATAAAACTTGACAAAAAGTCTATAACATATATTTCTTACTGAACATTGGTATATGACTTCTATTCTTTTCATCAGTTAAAAATTTAAACTGATTTGATTCTTAAATTGAAATGTCAAAGGTCAATACAAACTTGTAATAAACAATTTCAAAATTCTAAAAAAAGTTAAAAAAAAAAAAAAAAGTCTGTGAATTTAAGTTTTTGGCTGATGAACTGAATAGAAATCTTGAAACCTTTACCAACATTTAAAAAAAAATGTTATACTTTTTTTGTCTACAATTTTATCAACTTTATGATATAGTTCAGTAAGTTTTGATTTTAAATATATAAAGATGTTTAACTAAGTAGAACAAGCAACAGTCTAATTCACCACAAGTGCAGGTAATAATAAAAATGATATAAAAATAACAGGGAATTAATACAATAACAGTATTGCAATAATTCATTTGCATAGATATATATTTAAAAAGCTATGAAGCATGGGGATACAACTTCTATTATATAGCAGGCCATGAACTAAACCATTTACATTTTACTAACATCAGAATCTTCAGATTAATTATGAGTAATACTAAATGACTCCTAATCAAGGAAAGTTTGAATATATCTAATTATTTCTTTTTATTTCTGATGCAAGACCTTTTCATATTTCTTGTGATGTTGGACGGCTTCGCTTGTCACTTTTGCTATGTCAAGTGGAAGCTTGTTATCACTTCCAAAAATGCTTGTTATATTCAAGACTTCATAGACAGTATTAGTAGTAATGCCTTCAAATAATATTCACACTAGTAATACTTGTTCAAGTAGTAATTGTCAAATAGTATAATGATTAGAAGATAATTGTAATCTGTATAATAGTAGAGTAGAGAGTGTGAACATATAACAATAGTGGATAGACAAGAAGAGTGAACAGTGATCATATAGTCATCACGCTACTTCCTATTTATTCACTTCCTTTATGATCATGTGATCTACTTAATAATGGAATCATCTGTGTTACTCACTGGTGATCTAGTTTCAAACCACAGTGTCGGCAATGACACTTACTCTTATACAACAATATCCAAATTGATCTTTATTTTCATTTTACAAATTTCTAACTTATTGGCTGCAGTAATACGTTTCATTTTTTTTATTTGTGGAAGAAAAATTATCACCAGAATATGAGGCTAGGTAAAGGAATATTCAGTATTTGGTATGCTAAAATGTGAGTATGATACTCAGAAATTATTAAGATCCTGGTACTGCATCTATTAAAATAGCATTTTTATGTGTTCTGTGTCACTTGTCCTGTCCTCATCAGAAATACACATCTTCTTGTTTTTAATGATGAACAAAAAGCAATAAATGCCAATAGTGAAGAGGGAGGGGTGGAGGAAATTTGTTTTAAGGTGGGGGGGGTAGATAAAATTTTTATCTCTGGTATGTCTGAACAAATAACAAGCCAGTTTTTATTTTCCTGCATTTTCCTTCATTATAGTTTTTAATCCATCCTCCCCACTCCCAACTCTCTCTTGTTTGCTTGATTTTTTTCTTTTCTTCTTTCTTTCTTCTCTTTCACTGTCTCTCATCCCCATCCCTCCTCCCTGCCAAATTAGATCTGACTACAGTAGGGCGTGTAAAGACCATGGAATGAATAAAACTGTTTTTAAAGTTTTTACCCCTGAAGATGTTTCAGTTGCTCATTTGCTGTCATAAGCTGCTTTCATGTGATAAACCCTGCCTACATAATCACTGGAGGGTTTAGCAGGTGCCAGTGTGGAAGAGATGAAAACTGCTGTCAATCCAGATTGTCTAATAGATCCTTAAAGTGACCCCACGCCCAGCCTGCTCTCACTCTGACCAAATGCAGTTACCTTAGGCTGTCTCAGCTGTAGAACATTTTCTTAGCAAACAAGAGAGAGAGAGAGAGAGAAAAAAGCAAGAGAAACTTAGAATGAATAAATAAATTGCTTCACTATGAATTTCAAGGTTTTGTTTTTTTTGGTGGGGGTATTTTAGATTGCAGAGGGGTTTTGAGGTGAGGTTGTAACAAGTACCTTAACTAGCTTGAGTTTCACACTACCTTTTTTATTTAGAAAAAAAAAAGAAAAATTTTTTTTCTTTCTATTTTAGTGTTCATTCCCTAATTTTATCTTATCCCCAGGACTCCTATCTTTCTGTCTGTCTGTTCATTCATCTATTATTCTCCAAACTTTTCCTATCTCATCTCCTGGTTTTTCTGCAACTGGGTTTGCACTTTCTGTATCATTTTAGGATTTTGTCTTTCCTCTCTCATTCTCTCTCTCCTGCCACCAATCATTTCATTTTTTTTATTATTATTGCTGCATTCTGTGGCCCCAATTAAGTTTATTTCTCATGCTTATCATTCCTGGTTTTTATATGCATTTATAATCTTATGAAATCCTACAGGCAAATATGAATCCCAATAAATCCATGCCAAAATCTAGAAAGCAATTTTGCTGTCATTAGCAGCTGATTAATTATTAAAGCTAATATAAATTGCCTTCTAAATACAACTAATGATAATATGGCTTCATTGTTTTACTAAGGTTTATAAACTTTATTAGGAAATGGTTTGAATTTCAGCTAATGATGTTAATGTCCTTTTATGTCTTTGAGAAATGTATGGGGCCATTTCTCTCAGTATTCTGCTTCATCTGAAGATCTATTGTTATTGGTTGACAGAAATAAGTAAAAATCTTGGAAAACTATCCCTCCATAAAATGTTATCTGAAAGTTCTGACCCCTTCCTCTCTCTCTCCATAGCCAACTTTCAGAAGAACTAATTACAATAATAGAATAATAATAATAATAATGATGATGTCATAGATTTTTAACTTTCAAAAGTGCTAATGTTTTTCCAGATCTGTCAACCTAAAAATCTTAAAACTTAGAGACTTAGATTTCTAACATCAGAAAAAATACAGATTATATCAAAAACAGGGAAGAACAGAGTTTCAAGACTGAAACCATTCTTTCAAAACAAATATGGATTGTATAGGAAGTATTTTCACTTGGCAGTGGAGAGAGTTCAACAAATTATTTTCAGGGAAATTCAGGAAAAAACTGAGAGACAATGCTTCCTAGTTAACTGGGATAACACTAGTTATGAACCAGGACACTGTGATGAAGAGCTCCAAACAGGATGTCTCCCAGTAGCACCAAGAGAGTTGACTGTTTTGGTTTTGGTTTTCTTTCCCCTAAAGATCTGAGGATACCAGTTTCTTTTTAAAATTAAAAACTCTCCATTTTAACCACCAGTCACATTTATTCAGTTATGAACTTTCTGACAAGACATTCATGCTTGAAACGTGGTAAATTCTTTTCAGATTCATTTTCTATTACTCCTTCCCAAAAATCATTCTCTCTCTGCTACCTTTCTCCTCTTCCCAGAGATCATTCTCTCTCCGCTTCCTTTCTCCTCTTCCCAGAGACCATTCTCTCTCCGCTACCTTTCTCCTCTTCCCAGAGACCATTCTCTCTCTCCTTCCTTTCTCCTCTTCCCAGAGACCATTCTCTCCGCTTCCTTTCTCTCCTCTTCCCAGAGACCATTCTCTCTCCGCTTCCTTTCTCCTCTTCCCAGAGATCATTCTCTCTCCGCTTCCTTTCTCCTCTTCCCAGAGACCATTCTCTCTCCGCTTCCTTTCTCCTCTTCCCAGAGACCATTCTCTCTCCGCTTCCTTTCTCCTCTTCCCAGAGACCATTCTCTCTCCGCTTCCTTTCTCCTCTTCCCAGAGACCATTCTCTCTCCCTTCCTTTCTCCTCTTCCCAGAGACCATTCTCTCCTTCCTTTCTCCTCTTCCCAGAGACCATTCTCTCTCCGCTTCCTTTCTCCTCTTCCCAGAGACCATTCTCTCTCCGCTTCCTTTCTCCTCTTCCCAGAGACCATTCTCTCCCTTCCTTTTCTCCTCTTCCCAGAGACCATTCTCTCTCCTTCCTTTCTCCTCTTCCCAGAGACCATTCTCTCCGCTTCCTTTCTCCTCTTCCCAGAGACCATTCTCTCTCCTTCCTTTCTCCTCTTCCCAGAGACCATTCTCTCTCCGCTTCCTTTCTCCTCTTCCCAGAGACCATTCTCTCTCCGCTTCCTTTCTCCTCTTCCCAGAGACCATTCTCTCTCCGCTTCCTTTCTCCTCTTCCCAGAGACCATTCTCTCTCCTTCCTTTCTCCTCTTCCCAGAGACCATTCTCTCTCCGCTTCCTTTCTCCTCTTCCCAGAGACCATTCTCTCTCCCTTCCTTTCTCCTCTTCCCAGAGACCATTCTCTCTCCGCTTCCTTTCTCCTCTTCCCAGAGACCATTCTCTCTCCTCTTCCATTCTTTCTCTCTTCCCAGAGACCATTCTCTCTCCGCTTCCTTTCTCCTCTTCCCAGAGACCATTCTCTCTCCTTCCTTTCTCCTCTTCCCAGAGACCATTCTCTCTCCGCTTCCTTTCTCCTCTTCCCAGAGACCATTCTCTCTCCGCTTCCTTTCTCCTCTTCCCAGAGACCATTCTCTCTCCGCTTCCTTTCTCCTCTTCCCAGAGACCATTCTCTCCGCTTCCTTTCTCCTCTTCCCAGAGACCATTCTCTCTCCGCTTCCTTTCTCCTCTTCCCAGAGACCATTCTCTCTCCGCTTCCTTTCTCCTCTTCCCAGAGACCATTCTCTCTCCGCTTCCTTTCTCCTCTTCCCAGAGACCATTCTCTCCGCTTCCTTTCTCCTCTTCCCAGAGACCATTCTCTCTCCGCTTCTTCCCAGAGACCTTTCTCCTCTTCCCAGAGACCATTCTCTCTCCCTTCCTTTCTCCTCTTCCCAGAGACCATTCTCTCTCCGCTTCCTTTCTCCTCTTCCCAGAGACCATTCTCTCTCCGCTTCCTTTTCTCCTCTTCCCAGAGACCATTCTCTCTCCGCTTCCTTTCTCCTCTTCCCAGAGACCATTCTCTCTCCGCTTCCTTTCTCCTCTTCCCAGAGATCATTCTCTCTTTGCTTCCTAAAATCAAATGACAACAATACCAGTTGAAACCATATTACCTCCTAAAGTTCAATATCATTTTGCCACTCAACTCTGTCTATTACCATGATTCATTGAATTAGACTCTTCGTGTGGGCTTTCACTAATACATTTATATTACATTGTCTGAAATTGTTAAATAGAAATTTGGCAGGGTTAAATTGCAGTTATTTTTGACTGACATTGGTTGGAATGAAGGTATTAACCTCTTAGTCTGTAAGCCACCCACACAACTGACAAAAAATGCTTATAACTTTTGATTATAAATATTCACTGAATACTTCTTCCCTAATTTTATTGTCTTTTGAACAGTAAAGTATTTACCTTTTGCAATCCACAAGAAACTTCATCTTTAACTCATTTGCTTTGCATTTTTTGATTTTGGCACAAACCCAATTTTGCATCTAGTTTAATTCAGGTTTACTTATTGATCTTTTCACTAGGAGTAGAAAAACAAAAATTGTTTGGCTACTTTTGTGAAAGTTTGGATTTTAGTTAAGGTATTAGAGGAAGCTGTTTATTATAATCATGAATAATGGTAGCAAATGGTTACTGAGATCAAAATTCACAACTTCCTATCATTTGTAGCTGTAAATAATTTTTGTTTCCTATTGGTGCTAGTCCTTGTTCTGCTATCTATTTACACAAGTTTTTTAAAACACTCTAAAAAGCATCTAAAAATGATTACAATAAACAAATTTCTTATTATTTAAAAGAAAATAAAGAGATTTCGTTAATTTAGTGGGGAAAATAAAATATATTTCATTTTACTCCCCACCACCCCAACCATTATTTACTGAATCAATTATTGATTTCATTTTGTTTAAGTTCAAGTACAGAGCATTTATTTCCAGCCAGGATTTTCAGATTTCCTTTACCCCAAGTTTGAATTTGATTCTGTAGAACTTGTCTCAAACTCAAGAAACAAGCACACATGCAAGGTTTAAAAAGGAAAAAAGATTATAGTGCCCCTTTTTACTTTTATATGATCCGTGTATATGGATCGCTGATCCCCGTTTCTCCATTCTATGATCCCTCACATTTGCACTCCACTCTTCTTGATCCTTTGCTTTTTACTGGTGTTTTACTTGATCTTTTATTTCTCATTGCTGTTTCTTAATCTAGGGAATTTAAGTAACTGTTCTTTACAGCAGAAAATGGGAGAAAATACAAGAGTTAAGTTTTCTTTTTCTATGTACACAAACAAAAATTGATCTTCATGTTTCCTAAGGTTGAACTGATAATCCTTTTCCTATCACATAGAGTAAAACACACCACACTCGTATACATCACAGAGCTTTGACTGCTGGATCAGAAAATCTATTAACATGCAACTATACTGTAAAATCTAGAGTTTTTCTTACAAGTCTGTTTTCTTGACATACAATATGAATTGCACGAACAAGGTGGGACTGACTTCAGAGCAGGATAAACAAAATATGCATTAACATGTTTCAAAGAAACAACAAGGTTTGTACTAAGAAAAAAAAAAGTGATTGCTCAATTCTGCCCACATTTTCCTTAGGCTAAAGGATTTTATATCTATCATCGTAGCAAAAAAATCTTTAGTCATTCTTGAAATACTCTCCTCATCTGTAAGAGATGATCCCAAGTAGAGGAAGACTATTTTTTATGGTAGGGAGATCAATAAGAGAGCAAAAAAAGAAAGGCTGAACAGAGATTAAAAAAAAAATATATTCTCAAGGTTTCTTTAATCCTTCAATTGATTCAGTATTTGTAGTCCATCTTTACTTGATCCACTTTTCTCTTCATTCTCATTGGTTCATGGATCTTGCTTGAACCTTTTCTCTGCAACATCTGCCACCCTCATTTGATCACTTGTAAATAAATACATAAGTATTTCTCTCTTCCTAATTCACTGGATTTTCAATGTACATTTGCTTCCTTGAATTTGGATAAACAAAAAAAAAGTTTTAGATAATGGGAAAAAAAGATGATATTGAATATTTAGGCAAGTTTTATTTTTCTCTGTTAAATATATATTTCTTTCTGAAGTTATTTCATTTTGAAATATCAGTTGAAAATATTTGTCAGTTATTTTTAATCTTCTTTTGAATTTAAAATTTCTTGATTTTTCTACATGATTTTTTTTATTGAATAAAAAAAATATCAGATGTGTGCATACAGACGAGAAAGCAGCCAAAATTGAAAATAAAATGCTTGCATTGCGTTGATGCTGATAAGCAAATGAAGAACTTTATGAACTGGACTGCTTTTGTATGAGGGTCTCACTTGATGAAATGTTAGATTTTCTTGCAAATATCTCGGCAAAATAGAATTCATTCATTTCTTGATTATTTTGGGATTGCTTTCTTTTCTTTTTTTATATACCAATTCAATTTGCGTTGATTTTGGGCCAAATATAATTAAAGTCATTATCTCACATTACTGAAACTGCAAAACTAAAATTATTTACCAGCTGTCATTAACTTCCAGGCGACTATCCAATTTGAACGATTACGTGTAATAAGATGGATACAAAAAACCTGTTTTCAACCTCTTTTTTTTTTTTTTTTTGAATGCAAAGCTTGGAAACCAGGATCTAACCAACTGATCAAATTTCAATAACTACTGATCTCACTACAATCAATGCACTTATACTTAAATATATGATACAGAAATTAATCCATTGTACTCTGAAACTTGAACACTTGCCAATGCACTATTCACATGAACACTCCCAATAACAACAAAAATGAATATCACATGTAATTAGAAGAGAAAATTAATGATCAATCTGTTAACTTTCCACATGACCAAAAACAAAAGGTTTGGAAGGAAATACTTGAAAGAGCAATAATAGTGAACTTCAGATGTTTAATTTCCATAAAAAAAAACATTTAAATTGATTTTATAAATTTCAATCAAAAGTAATGCTTACTGTTAGATCAATGAATGTTACATTTTTTTTTTTTTTTTTTTGTATGGGAATTACTGTTTTCACAAATTATCATTTTGGATATTTTAGTAATTTCCTATTTGAGAACTGCATTTGTGACAGAACTAATCAGCAGTGAAGAGCAGCAAATGGCTAGTACAAAGTTGCTCATATTTATTTGGTCAAACTAGTCTATCACGTCAATCATTATGGCTCTGTATCAAGGTCGGAAACTCATTAGGGTGGCATTCTGTATCATGACAAAGCTTGTCAATTTAGATTGGACATCCAACCAGTCTGGCTAGGTTACCAGAGCAGTAGATCATTCGCAAGTTCTTGTTTTGCTCACCAACAGTGTCCTGCAAAGTGCATTCTGCATTTGTATAAGATTGTAGAAATATCAGGGATGTATCCATAGAGCTGTGATTTAGTTGGATGCTGTCTCCAAGAGATGTTAAGTATATCTCTCAGTATCCGAGTTTAGGTTCCATCAAGCTTAGACTGTAGGATTTTAGTTAATGTCCAAGCAGTGGCACCACACATTAACACTGCCTCTACAGCACTATATATATATATATATATATATATATATATATATATATATATATATATATATATATATTTTTATGATTACTAATTGTAATACTATTCCCTTTCTATCCAATATCCACACATGAAGCTGGTTCTGCTATTTTTGGTGACTGGCAAATGTGCCTATTCACCCCTACCTGGAAGACAAAAATGACAATAAGGAAATAAGATTGCTTGTATAAACAGTTTTATTCTACTTACATGTGAGACTGTAAATAATTTTGGTCATTGGATGTAAGATGCAATGTGTGACAATTTCATCAGGGATGCCTGGATTTGGGGTCAGTGTAGTGGAACCACAGTTGGTCATTGGGTTCAAGCTTTAACTCTTGATAGAAAAAAAAAAGAATTTCACTTAAAGAAAGAAAAACATCTTTATAGATTCTATGCTATGTTTATTCAGTTGTTGTATGAGTTGAAGATCAAATGTAGATATGAATCCAACAGAATGATAAAATGAAATAAAGAACAAGTAGGAAATGAATCTCAATCTAACAAGTTTTTCTTTTATTAAAGCTTCATGAGAGATCAAGATAGAAACAAAAAGAACAAAGACACAGAGCACTGGTATGCTGTGATCTTGGTTAATACATGGCAAATAGGAGCTAACCAAGATCATATAGCATACCAGTGCTCAGTGTCTCTTTGCTCTTTTCATTTCTATCTTGATCTCTGATGAAGCTTTAATAAAAGTGAAACTTGTTAGATTGAGATTCGTTTCCTATTTGTTCTTTATTTCATTTTATCATTGTTATGAATGTACAAAGTAGAAACATTAACCCCTAGACCAACAACATTGTTTCTACCTTGTAGACTTGAGGTATACACTTGTCTTAGTTTTTGGAGAATCTCTTACAAGAAATTTACAGAACTTGATTGTTTAAACATAGCTCAAAAGTAAATCATGGCCAGATTTGATTTAAAATTATTTTAATAATTGATGATAGTGCTTTATTTGATTGGGTGGTTGTTTTCTGTTTGTTTTTTTTGTTTTTGTTTGTTTAAGATGACCATTTTATTATTCATGACCAAAACAACTGGTGGACAGTATCCTTATTGTGTCTCTGTAAAAGGATATATTGCTATATAAAAATGTGTCATAGACATAAATACTGTTTGCTGGTTCCACTTGTGAAAGTCTTATCCTTACAAATACGTTGTTTATCAAAAAGGTTGCAATATTCTCCTTTGCTTTGATAAACTTCATACAGCTAAAAGCTTGTGGAAATAAATCTTCAGACATGTTTTAATGGCTAGCAGCATGGCATACATTTATATCATGTCTTTCTTCCTTTTGGCTTCATAATATTTTCACAGATTTTCCTTTGTGTTTACCAATGAAAAATGTAAGTATGCAGATACACACGTATGTATGCATACTTGTGTGTGTATCTGCATACTTACCTGGTAGATGTACAGGACTAATGTTTTCTTCCTTTATAGTTGTTGTTACATCAGACCTTTTCTCTCCAATCTCGAAAGAGACAAGACTT